TACCTGTAGAAGCCAAATATATAAATGTTAATGTAATATATATACTTATATACACATATATACACACATACACACATATACATACATACACACATAATATATATATATATATATATTATGTATAATGAACTTTTATTTTATATTTCTTTCAGGACACAAACGAATTTTTATTTGAGCAGGCAAGTGTTTCGAAATTCGTACTCGTCAATTATAGATGTTTCACTCAGTTTTATTTGATCAGTGTTTCGAAATAAAGAAAAATCAGTGTTTCGAAATAAAGAGAAATCAATGTATAATTATGGAATAATTATACATTGGAATATTTGATATGATTAAATTGATATTTATTATATGTTATCAGTTCGGATTTTTATGTATAATGAACTTTTATTTTATATTTCTTTCAGGACACAAACAGATTTTTATTAGAGCAGGAAATGAAATATCCCGTTAGAGGTCCTTACTACTGTAGAAGATATTGGACCTGAGCTACTTACACAGGGTCCATGGATCGCAGTTGATCCAAGTAAACTTTGGTGCATCATGGGTGCATCTCTGCAGCGAGGAAGCTGCCATTTTCCATTTACCATCACTCCAGAACTACGCCACCTATCGGCGTATAACTTGGCTAGACTCGTAGAGCTATTAAACAACTAGAGTGCTGACAAGATGGCGGAGCAATGCAGAGTTGTGTATGTGTACCATCCAAGATGGCTGCCGTAGAAAAGCGCCACCTTCAGGCTTAGTATACATTTTATTACCATAAATAAGCCCTCTGACTGAATATTATTTCATTAATGATAATTATTAAACTGTCGTAGCCAAAAAGAGGCCAAGTAGAGCATCTTATTAAAATATTAAAAAGAATTAAAATTGTGTACATTACACCCATACACCGTAACGCTCGAGTTTCAATATACGGGTAACCAGCTGTACTGAACTTTCTGTGTAAATTGAGGGCGCAATTGAAAAAAGTGCTCAGGGGAAATTTGATTGGCTGAATCTATGGCAGCCAATTTGGATGGTACACACACACAGCTCTGCGTATTTCGAACATCGAATACATTGCTATTAGCGCTCTAGTATTCTTATTATATCTCTATGGCTAGACTTTATCCTAGCATTTATTATTAAAATGCCATTACAGTATAAGCAATCCAATAACGATCATACATTTGGCCGTTACATGAGAAATTTTGAAATTTTTAAAAGAATTACGCATACGTATGCGCACGTCTTGACGCCTGAGCGCACGGTAATGGCAAAAAATGTTGACTCCTGATTCAAATACAGTGTCAGGAACTCAAAATATGTAAGGAAACGTAAATTCTAGGCTCAGTGTGGAAATGAGTGTGTTGCGTGTAAATTATGGGAAGTTTTGGAATGCTGAAAATGACCTGAAACATGCTTTAAATTATCTGAAAAAGTGATATTGAGAATTTTCAAATTTTAATGCACACGACGTGTGTGTGGACGGTAATGTAACAAGAAATTGAATCTTGTTAATGTTGAATTTAATTTAAAAACGCATGTAGGTTGGTAATGACACGAATTTTACTTTCATATGAACTGTTATATCTATCTGATAGCGTCGAAATACAGTCTGCCGCCCTCTGTTTTTTCACAAATGTTATTGTTGGGGTCCAAAAATTAATTCTTTTTACCATGTTGACGTCGTCAAAATGAAAAATGAAAGGACACTTCCGAGAGAGAATTGTCTCAGCTATAACATCCTCACAGTTGGGAGACGATCACAGGTGGGATCACGAAATTAAACATTGTCAAGGTTTTTGAAACCGCCTGTTGGTTGGTAATGCCACACGAACTTTCCCTTCATATAACCTACTGTATATATCAGTCCGATAGCGTCGAAATACAGTCTGCCGTCGTCTCTTGTTTGTTATTTTTAAGATCTTTTAAGAGAGATAAAAGCGCTCCAATAATTCATTTTTTTTTACCACGGTCACGAAAAATAAAGGGGCACTTCCAAAAGAGAATTGTCTCAGCTATAACATACTCACATGATTGAGACAATCTAACAAGAATAAGCGAGATACATTCAATGAGTTTAAAAATAAAGACGTTACAAATAAAAATTCAGTTTTTTAAAATTCAGATGACAATATAATGACGTCATAATGTCCGATCAGCCATAATGATCTATAAAATCATATCTACAATTCATGTGCTTTTAGAATATGTAATAAAAATTTTGGGGGGGGGGAGGTAGTGTTCATCTCTCATCCTATGAAGCTATAAATGATGAAAAATAGGCATTATTTGAAAAATATATAAATTCTGACGCACGTGTACCCGCACATTAAGATGCTCAAACGGAAATTAAGGTACATGGCATTTAACACGTTGACTGCCAGACCTTTTTTACGGTTCCTTCCCGTGTGCCAAAACAAGTTTACATGTACAAACATACTTTTTTGAAATTTTATCTAGTTTAAAGCACGTTTCAGGTCATTTTCAGTATTCCAAAACTTTCCATAATTTACGCGCCGTACGCTCATTTCCACGCCCACCGCACGTACTGAAGCTGGAATACATGTTACATGTTTTGGGTTTGTGACACTGTATTAATATCATTACCGTGCGCACAGACGTTAAGACGTATGTGTACACATTCGTAAGTCATTAAAATGCTCAAAATTACTCTTTTTAAAAACTAAATAGAGCATGTTTTAGCATATAATACTTTTCAATCAGAACCGCGCGTGCTTCGTGTGGGTCAAAGTACAGCAGATCACCAAACTCGTCCTCAGTGACGAGTTCAAATCTAGTTCTCATTATGAGGCTTAAGCAGTGGAGTTATTTTGATGTGAGGAAAGAATCTGCTTAACTTGATGTAGTTTGTACATAGATTTGTTTTGATGTCTGACATGATGTATGTAAATAAATAATAAATAATATCACTTGTTATCACCTTTACACTTATTAATCACATATTAATGATTGTAATATTCTTGTTTATAAAATTATAAATTATATGGCACCATCTTACTTAATATACTTGTTCTTTCAATGATTACAGCTATGACTTTCATAAAAGTAAACAAATGTATTTTCAAACCAAAGACCAATTACAAAAAAGTATTCCATATTGTGGTGCTATCGAATGGAATAAACTAAGCCCTGATGTACAGTATTCCACCAATTTAAGTATTTCCATGAACCACATTTGTATTAATAATTTGTGAAACCAAAGTATAATAGTATAGACATGCATAAATCATTGATTTACTGTTTTTTTGTTTTTTTGTGTACTGTATAATAATTATGTTTGTATTTATATTATTTAATTTCTGCATTTAATTTTTTCTTTCTTATGAATTATGATGTTCTATAATGTGTAATTTATATCAATTGTAAATAAGGTATGTCATGGCCATAATGAAAAACAACATTGTATTTGTTGATCTGTACTGTACTTCGTGAGTAAATACATTTTTTTACTTACAGCTCGAACGTATACAGGTGCGTATGTAGCTAAGGAGAGCAGAGGGAGAAATCCCCTGTTAACACCCCCTGGTTTAAAGGTGAGAGTGCCATTTTTTCCAGGCATCTAGAGTTGCCACCACATTTTATACTCAGCCCAGTCCTTGTACGACTGAGCTGGGTGTTGCCACTGCTGTTAATCCTGCTTTTTTCACAATTTCGCAAGTAATTATTTGCTTTAACAGTACTTACAAATAAACAAAGTTCAGAGGCAGATCCACAAGGGTGGTAAATAATTAAGTGAGTAGCCTTATTTCAATACATAACACTGATAATAATAATAATAATAATAACAACTTTATTTTATAACGGTCAAAAAACTCGTTCACCCAAGTGGGTGTTCTTCCACGAGGCCGTATGGACATTAAACAAAATAATTGTGTTAGATTAAAATAATTAAGTGTTAGTACAAAGAAAAAACAAATATATATAATACATACTAATGGTTATTACATTACTATGTTTCTTTTAAAAAGTTCTAGTGTGCTTGAATTTTTCATATTGCTGTCTAAATTATTCCACAAAAGAGCCCCCCGGTAACATAGACTTCTTTTTTTATATTCCGTTCTTGGCTTGGGTACGTTAAGGTTGTCATTTGACCTAGTGTTGTATTTACTTTCTCTTTGAATAAATCTATTTTTTAAATAATTAGGAGCTAAGTCATTCATTATTTTGTACATTGTGATATTTTCATTAATGTTGAGCATTAGATCAAGATTAGGCCATTTAAGTGATAAGCATTGAAATCTTAAAATTTGGTGGTGAAATGAAGGACATGTGCCTCAATGCGTGCCCTTGTACTAGATTTATATTACATATTCTGTCATCATGGTCAAAGTGATTGTTTTTTTTGTGACTCTTCTCATCTTTCTTTTCTCAAATCTTTGACGCCCCTATATCATCCTAACCAATTGACGTTTCTGAATCATATTCAGTAGGCATAAATTTCAGGTCAAGGTTGAATGTCATGTCTTCATTTTCCATGCACAAGTCATATCGTGCACATACTCATGTGTAAAATTTTTTAAATGCTGAAAATCATGCCTATTTTTATTCAGTTATACTGTAGCTCCTTAGATTAAACAGTGACCCCCCCCCCATTTTTATTACATATTCTGAAAGCACATGAGTTGTAGATATATAGTCCAGTCAAAAATCACCTTAACCATGGTATAAGCTCCTACCTCAACGAAATTCATTAAGTATAAAATCACCAGTAATATAATTACATAGAATAGTATTTTTATACCTCTTATATACCTCTGGATGCCCGGAAATAGTACCTTTAATTCTTTTTATTTTTGACGAATTGAGTGAAAAAAAAAACATGAATTAATTGAATTGGTACCCAAAAATAGCACTTAAATACTTAGAATTCTAAAAGGTACCATATCCAACTGAGCTTCACTATGCTTGGGGCTAAGGTGAGAACTTTAGAATTATTACATCAGACTAGTACAGCTCATCTATTTTTATTTGATTGTATTCTGTAATTCTCATTCGTGCGACCAATGTCTGTAATGTCAAAATTGAAACTTATATCAAAAATGTAAGTGAAACTGCAAACATTTTTTTGGGCATACATACATAAAACCTTCAAATTTTATCACACTTTGTTTAAATCACTAACATAGGCCTACGATTTATGTTTAATCTGAATTAAAACAGACAACAACAGGTGCGGTAGGCCTATTTTGAGCATGTTTAAGTATAACTGGTGGGTTTGTTTGATTGTTTTCATGTACATGTATGGAACGACACAAAGAGGACAGAGGTAGGCATGTAACTCGCCATTTTTATTAACTTTTTTTATCAGTTTAAGTACTTTTTTGTAATTGTCATCATCACCGCTAGTTTATCGCCTGTGACATGTCTTCTCGAATAAGGACTATGATGAACCACGGTACTTTCAAGACGAACAGGGAGTTACTCTAGTGTACTAGTCCAGTTAACATGAAACAAACAAACTGAATTTTGGCAAACTGGGTATATCAAAAATTTTGAGTGGTCACGCTGCTAATATTACTAAGCTGAGTTCAGTAAACTCTGTGAAAGGCAACATGTAACACCTGGGCATTAACAAGACAAAGCAGAGAAGAAAGTCAAAACCTACAGTATGTCAGGATAGACCTATGTTAGTAACGTAACCACTCAACCTCCTTGGGGTCTCCCCACCACAAACCAACAATAAGTCATAGATTGGCAATTAAGAAGAAAAATGTGGCACAAAAACCAGCAGGTAAACACAAAAAGCAGGATGTAGGTTACGTTAAAACACAAGATTGTGTACTGCACCTGATAAAATGTTACTTTAACAACAGTAAAAGAATATTCCAAATCATTAAGACATATTATTAATCAGATGAAATTTCAAAATGATCTGTTTTCGAATTGGATAGAGCAATGTTGTATTGTCAATGCAAAGGTCAATGTTTGTTATTGATGTCAGAAGATGAGAGCCCCAATATTAATTGAACAGATTACTGATAACATGAGTCTTGTAATACCGGTACATTGATTTAAAAACACATAAGCCATGCCCCAATAGTACACCGTAAATACGTATTTGACTGGACAAAATTGCAACAAAACGTTTCATGATCTAACACATAAGCCATGCCCCAATAGTACACCGTAAATACGTATTTGACTGGACAAAATTGCAACAAAACGTTTCATGATCTAAATATAAACTTAATTATATGTAAAACAACATAATAAAAGTTTACCAAAATAGGATGTACATGAAGGTGTTTTGTCTACTATTCTATCCGTAAAAGAACAAGGAGAAGAAGTTTACTTTGTAAACGTGATGAGCAGTTCGAATGCTTAACCAAGATACAGCTGCGGTGTTCCAGTTGTGTTTTCAGAAATTTCCATGTAAACAAAGTACAAATTTAAGTGACTAAATTTAACATGGTTTCTTAGCCAGTGACTATAGTCATCATAGAGCGCAAAAAATATTTGTACATGCTAGATTGTTCTTAAAAAGATTAAAATTTATTTTGGCGCTAGCATTTATTTAATTGATAAACATATATTTCTATACTTTAGTGGGAAGTAAATATATGTATCAATAGCTGTTTAATATATGGTATGATTAAACATTAATTAGGCTATTTTAGTATGCACCTTTTAAATGTATAGTAAATTGGTTTAATAATATGATATTAAATTGTGTGTATTAACATTTGGCATTTTGGATTTCGACCAAGTGGGATTCGGCAAACTGGGTTTAATAACGTTAATAATAATTCTCTTTATTTATACACTGCAAAAAAACTCAAATTCAACATAGAAAATACAACATCAAAAAAGAAATTGTAAAAAGTTGTTCTTCTTTGAGTCCGTGGTTCATTAATTAACAACAACAATAATTGTATAAAAGTAAAATATTAACAATAAATTCATCACAATAAATATTATCAATAATAATAATAATAACAATAACAGCAGAAATTTACAGATAAAAAACCTATTCAATTTAAGGTAAAACATCAAAGGACACGAGAATTCTCACAAACATAAAAAACTTTTGAGTCGGCAAGGTAACATTCGGCAAATTTGGATTTGGCAAAGTGGAGTCGGCAATCCGGCCAGATCCTTGACAATAATATATACTCTGCAAGTCGATGGACAAAAAGACTCATTGTGTAGTAATGAAATTACCTACCAACATATTATAGATACTGTGTGCCAATTGTACAATTTGGTAGCTTTCCTGAAGTTTACCATAATGAAAACAAAACATCTTATAATTGTTCAAAACATGATCAATAAATTTGATTGAAACATAATATCTTTCAAACAATTGTAATATCACAGTGACCAATAGTTACCGCTATATCACTAATTCTAGGAACAACTGAGTAACATTAATGTTAGAATCAGATTTCTATACATTTTCTTATAACAAATTTTCATTAAAGTAAATAAAAACATATACTGTAGCTCTGAAACCTAGCTACTTTTATACCAGAATAAGTAAGTTTAGTTGTCAAAATATCAGGCGAAGAGAGCTTCGATGACTCGCACAAATTTCTCCATCAAACAAAGCTTCTCAATACTTAGATCAAAATAAAAGTTACGGACTATAGCTTGAATACATAAAAATCCTATAAGAATAGTCAAGCATAAATTTCCAGTCATTTTGTCAGAAAAAATTTTGCATTTGAGAAAAAAGGAAAATGCATAGCCTATTCTGAATAATGTAAGAAATCACCAGTGGATGTGTATCTTCAAACCAAATTTACTATCATTTGATTTACTATTATTCATTGCGTATTATGCAACATGCATACTATTCAGTGACTTGCGAGAATATGTCGTAATGTATTCCAAGCAATTTGACACTAAAAACGCCCTAAAAACGGGGTTTTTGATAATAAATATTTTCCTGGTAATTTTTGGAGAAATATTTCCATTACGGCTAATAGAAATATATTAGAAATGAGTAGTATGAAACAAACTTCAACTCTTCTGCACATATTTAATAACAGTTTTAAAAGTAAAATTAAGTATATTTTTATGCACAAAAATAACAGTTGATAATGAGTGTAGGTTCTACGTATGTCTTGATAATACATACATACATGCATACATACACGCATACATACATACATGCATACACACATATTATACACACACACACACACCCACGCACACACACATACACACATATACATACATACATACATATACATACATACATGCATGCCTTAAACCTTAATAATAAATCTGTTTTCTTTTTCGTTTTACAGCCTCGTTTGTCATAACAATCCAGTCGGAAAAAAAATTTCATATTGGAAACGTTTTCACTGTTCAAAAAGTGATGCTAATTGCGGGACGATAACACGGTACTGTAATATTCACCTGTTTGTACCACATACACTATTAGCTATAATCATCTATTCTCTTGGCTTTCTGCAAACAAACTATATTAGGGGTCATCCATAATTATCAACATTTTCAAAAGAGTACAAAACATACGCTTTGGGGGGAGAGGGGAGGGGTTAAAAGTGTAGGCATAAGTACTCTTTTATGAAAAAAATAAAATGTTGATCTCAAAATGATACAAATCAACATTTTATTGTGTACTCTTTCGGAGGGGGAGGGAGGGGGTAACAGAAAAGAGTATGTTTCGTACACTTTTGAAAATGTTGATTATTATGGATGACCCCTTAATAAAACTAAATCTATGCTAATAGGAACATCTCAAAAACGTATTCCTCCTATAAAACTTACTATCATCAGCCTATCTTTTTCCTTTCCAGAACTAGATACTCTCTTAACTTTCAAACCGCTCTTCTTCTTTACAACTCTCTTTTTTTACCCAATGCCGATTATTGCATTACCATGTGGGGTTCAAAATCAAACAAAATCATAAGCCACTTGTTTTAAACCATTAAAGATTACAATCTGAAAATTTATAAAATAAAAAAATGAAAAACAGAATAGTAAAAATTCTAAGAAACACCAGACAGGATTGGTAAAAAATGGCGTTATCCTACTGTCTGGGAGCTCTCCAAAGTGCAGCTAGCAACTAAATAATATGCATAAGAAATATAAAAGTAAAATAATTTATTTCATGTTAAAATATAATATTTTATCGAAAATCAAGATATTTAACTTTAGGTTAATCGTTTTCCATTGTATATCTTTATAGTGACTTCTCTCGTATTGTATACAGAATTGAAACTCCCCAACGGAGCTATTTCTGTTGCGAAGGGTGGACTGGAGGTGTAGCAAAAAATTGCCCTATTCGTAAGAGTCAATAATTATAAGCATTTTATAAGTATAAATACCAATTATAATTTGTATTTTACATAAATGGACATATGACATTAAATCTAGTTAATTGTTAAATGTTATTACAGTATTTACATTGCTTGATGATTTTACATTGGGATGATGATGATGATGACGGTGACAGTGACATTGACCAGGGCTTGCGGCAATGAAGGCAACCATGTTGACGACGATGATGATGATGATAGGCCTAATGTGCCATTTATGTAATGCATATTGCAGTATACTAGCAGATCTATTGTGCTTTTATTCATTATCTTTAGCTATATGCACTAATGGTTGTAATGGCGGCGGAGAGTGTGTTTCTCCAGAGACGTGCCACTGTTTTAAAGGTTTTTCTCCACCGATGTGTAGAGGTGAGTTATGGATTAGATTTTTTTGTATATATGTTCTAGTAGGGTGTTTATGAGTAATCCCGACCATAGGCATTTTACCATCAATTTTCTCGACCATAGGCATTTTACCATCAATTTTCTCGAAGGCATTTTACCATCAATTTTCTCGACCATAGGCATTTTACCATCAATTTTCTCGACCATAGGCATTTTACCATCAATTTTCTCGACCATAGGCATTTTACCATCAATTTTCTCGACCATAGGCATTTACCATTAATTTTCTCGACCATAGGCATTTTACTATAGAATTTTCTCGACCATAGGGGCACATTTCATAATTTACCAAACTTTTGCAAACGACCTATCGATGACATCACGTGACCCCGATGACGTCATTTAACGTCATCGGGGTCGATGACCTCATTTAACATTATTTGACCCCGATGACGTCATCGACCCCGATGACGTCATCGATACGAAAAAGCCATTTTCACATCTAGTCGGGGGCTTGCTCTAACCTGTAATGCCCGTACGCGTAGGTAGTTTTACCGTCGTCGAGTATATACCGTTTAGTGTCTAATGGAGATAGTGACTTTTTATTCTGCTTGATCGTGTAAAGTATATGCTTGCTGCTTCGAATCGAGTTCATGTCGCAATGCATATCCTTTTTACTCATCAACACTCGCACGTAATCGTCGTGATGTATATAGTCCCTTACGACGTATTTGGCGACTCCCTTTGCCCGCCTGACATCCAGCCTCGAGTCTTGTGTCTTGATTGAATACATTTTTGGTCTGAGTCCTACAAATTCCGTCATGATGCATCCACCCAATTCATCCTTCATCTTACCGAGAACCTTTTTATTTTTCTCGCTGTACAACAGACTGTCCTTGTCAAAGTTGCTCGTGTCGAACCAATCTAAATTCTCCTTGAGGTCGGTGTAAACATCCTCGGTGGTGATTGACAGCAACAAGCTATCAGTGTCTGTGTACAAGAGCTTGACACGATCGTCGTACATGGGTTTGAGTTTGTTGTAGTAAAACTCGTACATTAAAAGCTTACTCAGATCCAAGACGGCCGTACCGCAATAGATGGGTTTATTGAGCTTGACCCGTGTCTTGTTCATGTGAATGGCAACGAAATCATCGTTGAAAGTGACGAACCTGTTTAAGTTTGGTTTCGAGTAGAGCTTGTTTATTTTACGAATTTCATCAGTTTTGCATAAATGAACGGTTTGCCTGTTGCGAACATTTTCCATAGTCTTACCGAAAACGGAATTGTTCATTAGCTTGAAAAAGTCCTTTTCAAAATCGGTTTTTGCCCCTTTTCTAAGCTCGGTATTCATGTCGATATAGCCCTTCATCCACGGTCTTTGCGTAAACTCGATGATACGATGAACCTTGGTCAGCTTGATCCCTTTTTTCAGATAAAACTGCAAGTTTCTATAGTGCACGACATATTTAGTCTTGGGCATTAGGTTTGGTACGAGTTTCTCTACCCCCGGATTTTCGTCGCCCAACAAGTCGAGCTGATAGGGGCTCATCCAATCACGACTCGGCGCGAGCGTCTCGGGTGCCAGGGGGTAATCGTTAAACAGATCGTGCAATTCTTCCGGTACCTCCAAGTTCACCTCGAGAATGTACCCCTTTTCGCTATCGACCTTTGTCTTGATGACCGTTTTATACTCGTCCGGATCGATCCACCTAAAATCCGATACGGGTAACGGCTGACTCATGGCCCATCCGTACAGATTGTTGGCATCGAGATATAGCCTGTACGTACTGGGTTTCGTCTCGTCATAGTCGTCCATGTACTTGTTGTTAAACTTGCAGCGTCGATGGGAAATCATACTGATACCACCTCTGATTCCCTTTTCGAGCATCATGTGCATGTCCAAGTCAGTCATCAGCTCGAGCTCTACCCCAGTCTTGCTGAGCAGCGAGTCCCAACTAAAACCCGGCAGCGTAAAATAGTTGCACGGATCCAATCCGTATTCTTTAAAAGCAGTAGCTCTAAAGTTTTGAAACACGTCAGCCAACAGCAAAACGTCCGTTTCCAGGTAAAGGTCGTGATAATCGCCGAGGTTTTTACATTTAAAGTGCTCGTAAACCCTCGTGGCATGCTCATAGTCCTCGTCGTTTATACCCTCGTTGCGCAGGCTGCTGTAAAATAGTTCCTTACTGGGTAAACCCACTTCATCAAACTTGCTAAACGAATCCATGTATTCGTACGGATATACACCCTTTCTCGTGACTAGCTCCAAATCATCCTCGTCGTAAAATGTCTTGGTAAGCTTAAACTCGTCGATCGGTAACTTGGCAACTAGTTGTGCCAATGAGGTGTTTAGAAATTTCATCGAATCGATAAATCGGAGGTTATCCAACCTAAGGGAAATGTACTTTTCCGTATTGCTCGGAATGCAATCTATCGCCCCCGGCATCTCTCCGAGGGCCTGCATGATCAAGTGGGCGTCGTACCCAGCCAGATTGTGAAATATTACGGGTATGGGTGTATTCTCATCTACCTTTAACTTGAGATTGCAACCCGCGTGAGCCGCTCCACGATACGTGTTGGTAACGTGACAATGATCTCGCACCTTTTGCCCATTCTTTTTTGTCATACACTCAAAACACGTCTTGAAATTATTGTCGGGGTTTGCCTTGATCTTGACACATTTCCAACAGTCACCGACCCCACTATATTCCGTAAAACCACCTAGATTACAAATCCAACAGGTCGTTGCGGTCTCAAAGTCTGCTTCATCCTCAGACGTCATTACGCTGCGGGGTTTGACGGGTTGTTGCTTGAAAATGTCGATAATTTTCTCCTTTTCAATCACAAGATTATCCAAAAAGGATTTTACACACATTGATGCATTTTCAGCATTAGCACTATGTAATCCATGTCCGACTACTTGGCCGTCGTACCTTACCACCACGTACGACCAACCGCACGGCACGTGTTTGTTATTTTTAAACGTTTTCGGGTCAGACTCGTCGGCGTTTGTCGGCATTTTTTCTAAAATACACTCGAAATCTGCATAGATTACAAACGGCATCTTGCCTCTATGTTTAACGTTTTTAAATTTCAACGTCTTGTTTTTTTCATCGACGACTTGTACCACCGTTATACCGTCGTTTACACCCTTGCAATCGGGCTCGTGTTTTAGCAAACATTCTTTCTTACTAAAAACGTGCATACATCGCGAACATAAATGCTTTCCCCCCTTGTGTTTATTATAACCGCTGAGAAGCGGGCTCATCTTTTTAATCCACATGTAATGATTATCGTACAGCAAGAGATTAATCAGCGTACGACCCTCGTGCTCACCGTCGACGTAGACCGGATGTAAATACCCCTTACCCTCTTCTTCCCAGCCATAAACGTTAATCTTGAGCCGCGGATTATTCTTTTCAATGCTTTTAATCTGTTTGGTCGGCGTGGGAAACGTGATACCGCTCCAGTCGAGCTCGTCTAGATGCGGCGCGTATCTCGAGGGTCTCGGTATGGTCCTTGACGGGATGAAGCGCGCTGGCAATGGCGTATTTGATACACAAGTCGTCTTTGTTTTTAACGTTGACGATTGCCTTTTTATTTTTCAGCACGTTGGGTAATCGTACGTACGCACCACCGCGCAAGGGATTATACCTAACGATCTCTATATCGAGATGCTCGAGATGATTTATATGCCATCCCGATCCGTTTTCACCCCATCGCTCAACCATCACGACTATACGATTTACATCCCCTTCCAAATCTAATTCATCGTAAACTCTATATTCACCCGAGTGAAAGGTGGGTATGGCCGTTTCACCGTTTAGCGTCATATTTACACCTAAAACGAGTCGATATTTGATACCTCCGAAACGATGATTGTGTAATATTTCCTCGATACGATCCCTAAATTGTAAGATTACGCGTGGATCGACAAAACGTGTTAGGCTTATCCGATGAGTTTCGTGCGTCTCACTCGCATGAATACGATCAAATCTAGATTGGTGGTTTAAGGGTTCCAATTCACGTTCTACCCTTTCTTGCATTTCCCCACTTGGATTTAAAACTTGTTGTTTCTCACGTTTTCGCTGCTCTCGTTCCTCACGTTTTTCGCGTTCCTCGCGTTCCCACTGCTCGCGTCTCTCGCATCTCTTGCGTTCCTCGCGTTCCCACTGCTCTCGTTCCTCACGTTTTTCGCGTTCCTCGCGTTCCCACTGCTCGCGTCTCTCGCGTCTCTTGCGTTCCTCGCGTTCCCACTGATCGCGTCTCTCGCGTCTCTTGCGTTCCTACTGTTCACGTCTCTCGCGTTCCTCACGTCTCCACTGCTCACGTCTCTCACGTTCTCGATACTCACGTCTATCACGTTCTCGATACCTGTCTCT